CATGATTTTTTTAAAAAAGCTCAACAAGTTAGGAATAAAAGGGAATTTCTTCAAACTAATAAAGGGCTCAACTAAAAGTTACAGCTAACCCTATTCTTAATGCTGAAAAACAATGCTGTCCTCTTAAGATCTGTAGCAGGATAAGATTTTCCTTCAACATTGTACAGGAGGTACTAGTCAGTGCAAGAGGTAAGAATAATAGAGTACATGCATACATATTAGAGAGGAAGGACTAAATTTGCCTTTATTCACAGATGGCATAATAATCTTTATAGAAAATTCCAAAGAATCTTCAAAAAAGCTCCCAAAACTAATAATTAAGTTTAGTAAGTTCTCATGATACAAGGTCAATATATAAAAATCAAATGCATTTCTATATACAGCAGTCAACAATTGGAAAATGAAATATAAAAACAGTAGTATCAGAAATTATGAAATATTCAGGGCTAAGTCTAAGAAAATATGTGTAAGATGTATATGCTGAAAATTACAGAGCACTGCTGAGAGAAATTAAAGAAAATATAACTACATGGAGAAATATATCATGATCATGGGCTGGAAGACTTCATATGATAAAATGTCAGTTCTCAAATTGGTCCATAGATTGAACGCAATCTTAATCTCAGCAACTTTTTTTTCCCCTAGAAATCGATAGGCTGTTTCTAATATTTATGTAGAAAACCAGAAGATCAGGAATAGACAAAATACTTTTGAAAAAAGGAACACAATTGGAAGACTCTTACTACCTGATTTCAAGACTTAATATACAGGTGCAGTAATTAAGACAATACTGTATTGGAAAGATGTATAGATCAATGGAACATAATAGAGATTCCAAAACTAGATCTACACATATGACCTCAATTTGATTTTCAACAAAGGTGCTGAAGCCATTCACTGGAGCAAAGATAATCTTTTCAACAAATAGTGCTAGAAAAATTAGACATCCACATGCAAAAAACCCTCCTCAGTCCTTACTTCATACCATATACAAAAACTCAGATTAAAAAAAGATTTCTAGATAGAGCACCAAAAGCATGAACCACAAAGGAAAAAAGTGATACATTGAACTTCATCAAAATTTTTAAAATTCTACTCTTTGAAAGACACTTTTGAAAAATAAAGACAAGCCACAGGCCGGTAGAAAATGTTTGAAGAACTTATATCTGATAAAGGACTTGTAACCAGAACATGTAAAGAACTTTCAAAACTCAATAATTTAAAAATAAGATTAAAATGGGCATGATTTGGACAGCCACTTTACCAAAGAAGATATACAGGTGGTTAATAAGCATAGGAAAAGATATTCGACATCTTTAGTCATTAGAGAAATGCAAATTAAAACCACAGTGAGATGCCACCATACTCCTATTAAAATATCTAAAATTAAAAATTGATTATATCTAGTGTTGGCAAGGATTTGTAATAACTGGAACTCTCATAAACTACTGGTTTGGAATATCTACTGCAATAGTCACTTTGGAAGACAATCTGGCAGTTTCTTAAAAAAATCAAACATATATCTACCCTATGACCCAACCATTTTAGTCCTAGGTATTTATTCAAGAGAATGAAATAAAAGCATATATCAATATAAAGACTTTTACATGAATGTTAATGGTGGCTTTATTCATAATAGCCTAAACCTGGAAACAACTCAAAAGTCTATCAACAGGTGAATGGATAAACAGATTGTGGTATGTCTGTACAATAGAATACTACTCAAAAATAAAAAGGAATGCGTTATTGAAATGCAACAACATGCATGAATCTCAAAATAATTATGTTGAGTGAAAAAAAGCCAGACACTAAAGAGTACATATAGTATAATTACATTTATACAAAATTCTAGAAACCACAAACTAGTCTATAGTGATAGAAAGCAGAGCCATTGTTGCCAGGGGCTGGAAGTAGGGAGAATGAATATACTACAAAAGGTCATGAGAGGGACTTCCCTGGTGGCACAGTGGTTAAGAATCCACCTGCCAGTGCAAGGGACACGGGTTCAGTTGTGGTCCGGGAAGATCCCACATGCCGCGGAGCAACTAAGCCCGTGCACCACAACTACTGAGCCTGCGCTCTAGAGCCCATGCCCCACAACTACTGAGCCTGTGTGCCACAACTACTGAAGCCCACGCGCCTAGAGCCCGTGCTCCACAGCAAGAGACGCCACCACAATGAGAAGCCTGCACATTGCAATGAAGAGTAGCCCCTGCTCGCCGCAACTAGAAAAAGCCCGCGGGCAGCAACGAAGACCCAGTGCAGCAAAAAAAATAAATTAATTAAATAAATAATTTTTTTAAAAAAGAAAAAGGTCATGAGAGAATTTTTTGGATGATGGAAATGTTCTGTATTTGATTTTGGTGGTGTTTATACCATTGTATACACTTACCAAAAGTGTATACTTAAATAGTGAAGTTTACTGTATATAAATTACATCTCAGTAAATCTGATTTAGGAAAAAAAAACTATTGCAGATATACTGAATGGTTAAGTTTTAGAAGCAATCATATTAAAATTAATCTTTAAAAAGATATCCACTATCACTCTTAATATTCACCATTTACTAACTGATATTAGGACTTACTATAAAGGAATAAGATCACCAATGGGGGAGAGAGAAAGAGAAAGGGAGACAGAGGGAGAGAAGACATGGAACAAGAGACTAAAAGTACTTCATTTGAAAATGATATAATTATTTAAAAGATCCTATAAAATTTACAGACAAAAATACTGAAACTAAAAAAAATTCAGCAAGTTTGCTGAATACATATACACACAAAAATTAAAAACATTCCCTTTCTTCAGTATTAACTAACTTAAGAAACTGAAAATTAAAGTACTACTTTATCAAATAGAATCAAAAAGAAGCTCAAATTATAAGGTGTCTATGAATAATTCTAGCAAGAAATCTCAAAACCTTTATGTATAAAAATGGCAAAGCATTATTGAAGGACATGAGAAGATTTGGATACATAGAGGAATATATCATGTTTATGGATGGAAAGTCCCACTATTATAAAGGTTAAATTGTTCTCCATATTAATGTACCCATTTGATGCAATTCCAAGCCAATTACAAAAAGACCTTTTCATGAAAATTGTCAAGCTGAACTTAAAATCTATATAGAAGAATGCAGAGTCAAGAACAGATAACACTGTTCTGATGAACAAAGTTGTGAGAGTCTTGTCCTAACAGGTATCAGAAGTTATTATAAAGCCATATTAATCAACCCAATGTGGTATTTGCACAGGATCATGGGAACATAATAGAAAGTCCTAAAACAGATTTATCCATACATAGAGACTTGCTATACAGGGAAGGGAAAATCATGGAGATTTACATTAATGGTGCTGGAGCAATTAGTAACTCATATGGAAAATAAAATTTGATCTCCACCTCAAATGACAACAACAACAACAAAAATACAGAAAGGGAGCTCCCCTGGTGGCACAGTGGTTAAGAATCCGCCTGCCAATGCAGGGGACATGGGTTCGAGCCCTGGTCCAGGGAGATCCCACATGCCGTGGAGCAACTAAACCCGTGAGCCACAACTACTGAGCCTGTGCTCTAGAGCCCGTGAGCCATAACTACTGAGCCCGCGTGCCACAACTACTGAAGCCCGCGCGCCTAGAGCCTGTGCTGCGCAACAAGAGAAGCCACAACAATGAGAAGCCTACGCACCGCAATGAATAGTAGCCCCCACTCGCCACAACTAGAGAAAGTCCGTGTGCAACAGCGAAGACCCAATGCGGCCAAAACTTAATTAATTAATTTAAAAATCCAGAAAGATTGATGACCTACATGTGGAAAGTGGGGTAAGCAAAGCATTAAAATTTATGAAGAAAATATAGGAGGGTAGTGTGGTAAGAAAGAACTTAATAACTAAAATGGAAAAAGCACAAACCAGAAAAGATGTTAATAAACTTGTCCACACTGAAACTTTTAAAATGTCCTGTTCAGCAAAAGATGCCACAAACAAAATTCAAAGATAAGACACAGATGGGGCATTTACAACGTATACCATTGATGTATAGTCACAATATATGCAAAAGGATTCATAACCACTATATTTAAAATGTAGTGAACAGTTATTCTTATAGATAAATAAGAAAAAAGACAATTAACAGAAAAGTAAATAAAGGATAGGAATAGACATTTCACAGAAGACTAGACTTAACAGAAGACTGAACTCAAATAGCCACATTAAAATATGTTCAGCCTCAACAAGTAAACCCAGAATTGCAAATTAAGACAATAATGAGAAAATTTTTATTAGATTTTCAAAATATATATAATTTGATAATCACAAGTGTTGGCAAGGATATAGAGTTAAGAAATAGTGAGCTTATAAATTGGTTACATCAAGTGGAGGAGCCATCTGGTAACATCTAATAAAGATGAGGATTTGTATATCCTATGATACAGTTTTGTTACAAATGGAAATATATTTAGAGTGGTGTTTCTAGCAGTGGACTTATTTGATTTGGGATGGGACAATTCTTTATGTGTTACCACCCAACACATTGAAGGACATTGAGCATCTCTGGTCCCCAGCATTGTAGCTAGTAGTACTCGTCCTTGTAATTTGACAATCCAGAATGTTCCTACACATTTCCAGGCACTTTTCGGGGTGAGAGGGATACAATATCCTACCTAAGCTGAGAATCACTGCTCCATCGAAACTCCTTCTCACATGCAGAAGGGAACATGTACAAGACTGTTTGTCTCAGCATTGTTTATAATGGTAAAAACTGGGGAATAAATCAACAACTAATTGACAATAGAAGAATGAGTAGAAAGTGTGGTTTATTCATGTAATTAAAAACTTTTCAACTACAGGTATCTATAAGGATAAATCTCAAAAACATCACGTTGCATGAAAAAATAAAGTTGCATAATTATATAGCTACTGTTATTCCACTCACTTAAAACTTATAAAATGCATAACAGCCCTATATATAGTTTATATGTATGCACACATATGTGAGCTACATATATGCGTAAAAAGTATAAAAACATGCTTTGAATGGTACACACCAGGGCAGTGGTCACCAGTGGAGATGAAAGAGGAGATGAATGAGGTCATGGAAGGGTACAGAGAAGGCCTCAACAGTATCTGTAATGTATTATTTATGTAAAAGAAAAGAATGAATGAAATATAACAAAATATTGATTTGTTACGGTTGAGTGCTGAGTGGGCTACAGTTTCCCTCTGATTTCCTTGAGAAGTTATTTTTCCATAAACACTCTTCATTTTTAGCTATACCCCTTTGTTCTTTCTCAGTAGGAGAGAAAGTTACCTGATTGGTGTGTTTGGAGAGGAACTGGACATTCCCAACTTAGCACCTCTCTCCTCCTCTCTGCAGAGAGCTTGTGCCCTGGTCTGCTGTTGGCTACAAGGTAAGCGTAGTGTTGGAAACCAGGGAAAACTGTGTCCGCGTGGCTACAGGTGCCTAAGCCGATTGCTACTCCATATCCAAGCCATGTTTTCCAAACCTACCAGAAAGAAGCTGTAATTTAGAGCCCTATCTGCCTGTCTTTGTCTCTCTTACTTGTCATTTAGAAGTTAGAAGGGAAGATGTGTTGTGTGTTTCTGCACATACCTAGGCCATATCCTCCAACATAGACTTTATTGGTTGTACAGCATGCTTTATTTCCATTTGCCTGACTTCTTTGTCTCTCTCAATTGAGTCAGAACTTGGGTAGGGAGGATGAGGGATGAAATTTACTTGCCCTCTCAAACCTCAACGGTAAGTACAAAGATGTTTCTTATATTATTCTCTATATTTTAAAATAATGAACAAGTTTTTTAAAACATATGTCAAGGTTCTAAATAATTGTGGAGATACCTATGTATGTGTATACACACAGAGACACATACTCACTAATACACACACACACCTCTCAATAGCTTGCTTTTCAGAATAGATTTCTCACAGTTATTTAAAATCAAGTAGTGATAGTTAATGAATTGGAAAGACCTGGCTGAACAAGTACTGTACTTAAAGCAAAATCAGAAATTCCATGCTGGAGAAATAAGTAAGTTCTGCTTTTCTATCCACATGAATCAAATAAAAAGAACACTCTGGGGCTTCCCTGGTGGCGCAGTGGTTGAGAGTCCGCCTGCCAATGCAGGGGACACGGGTTCGTGCCCCGGTCTGGGAAGATCCCACATGCCGCGGAGCGGCTGAGCCCGTGAGCCCGTGAGCCATGGCCGCTGAGCCTGCGCGTCCGGAGCCTGTGCTCCGCAACGGGAGAGGCCACAACAGTGAGAGGCCCATGTACCACAAAAAAAAAAAAAAAAAAAAGAACACTCTGGAAGCAAAGGCACCCATGTTTTGAGCCAACAAGGACTATGTCTGTATCATTTCTATTGTAAAAATATAAAAGAGGGACTTCCCTGGTGGCGCAGTGGTTGGGAATCCGCCTGCCAATGCAGAGGACACGAGTTCGAGCCCTGGTCCGGGAAGATGCCACATCCCGCGGAGCAGCTAAGCCCGTGCTCCGCAACAAGAGAAGCCACTGCAATAAGAAGCCCGCACACCGCAACGGAAGAGTAGCCCCCGCTCACCGCAACTAAGAAAGCCCACACGTAGCAACAAAGACCCAAGGCAGCCAAAAAAAAGAAAAAAAAAAAAAAAAAAAATATATATATATATATATATATATATAAAAGAAATGGAAAATGGGTTTTAGAGGTAAAGATTTTAACTTTTTACGCATCAGAATTATGGAGTGTAAGAAATTAGTACAACAGGTATCAAAAGAGGTGCTTGGTTAACATAACATTATACTGGTTAAATTCACCAAACTTATTATCCCTTCAGGTTTGCTAACTCCTTTGCTTCAAGTCTCCTACTTTGTTGTTTTCCTTTTGACCACATTTCTATACTTTCAGGACAAGGGCTTGCCCTGCAGAAAAAGAACTTAGCTGAAATTAGAAGGTTTAATCAAAGCTTTTCTAGACAGCATGAACAATCAACAAACCCTGAACTGGGCAAAATGAAATGCCATTCAAATGGAAACAGAGCTTGCAGATTTCCCCAACAAAGAACATGATTCCAATCCTAACTCCCCCTCATCTCTTCATTACATACTTTTTTCCAGTGTTAGATGTGAATGAAATGTGGGTTGTTGGGAGAAAGGGGGTTGTGAGGGATGGGGGCTGAATAGGGAAGAGTCACACAACATTGCTTCCTTGTTGCTGCACAGAATGCAAGTCATTATTTTTCAATGACAGTATACAGAGACAATTTGAATTTGTAGAGGTGCCTCTCTCTTGTGTCTTTTTTTCCTTTTTTTGGCAACAGTTTTCAGTTCCTAGAAATTGGCTCATACTTCAGCCTGTAGACATGTCTCAATGTGTCATTTTTTAACCACTATGAGAGAAACAAAATGTGCTTCTGACTTTAGAAAGGAAGTCAGAGAAGTAAGAGCATATGTCAGATGGACCTCTACATCTAGATGAAGCAATGAGCACAAACAGCTTTCTTTCCCAGCTGCTTGGTGTATTGTGTCATATTCTCAGCACTGTGGATTTATTAATTATGATTCATGAATAGGCATTCTATAGATTAAAAAGGCTGAAATATAATCAATTAAGATGGCCCAATTATATTGCTTCTAGAATAGACTACTTTCAAATAGCTTCTCAAATTTTATGGCCAGCAATGGGAAATCCAACAAGAGTGTAATAGATGTCAGATTATTTCAATAGTAAAACCACTAATTCTTCTTTTGCAGATGAATTTAGAAGAATAAGTCTATATCCTTCCACCTGGACTTTAATGCCTGAGCGCTTATTAAAATATAAAATAATCTTTACTCCTGAAAAGGTAGGATATTGTGTTTTTTAGGGGTTTTTTTTTGGTTGTTGTTAAATGAACTTAAACTCACATTTGCTTCCTTCTCAGTCAAATATATTTCACACCATCTTTACTGAGTACAGCAAGGGAACAGGGGTTTATCTTAAAAAAATGTAATCAATAGATTAGATGAAGAGTTATGTGCAGGGTTAAAGGAAGCAAGGAGGAATGGTGAGGTACTCAGAAACTAATTACAGTGGAAGCCATTTCCACCCACCCCCAAGCCTGAAGACACAAAGGGAATAATGGAGTTTACCAGAGCCCCTTGAGCACTGAACACAGAAGAAGGGTTGTCAGATGGGAGCTTTAGCCATGAAGGACCTAGCCCCTGCCAGAACACCAGAATGATGGCAAACAAAGATAGAGTAGGAGGAATAAATACCCAGATCTCCTCTTGCCCTTCCACCTCCTGCTGGTGCCTCCATTGCACAAGGAAGTCCAGATGATGCAGTCAATAGAGGTCAGCTTCTCAGACATAGAGCTAGAGAAGAGCAAAGAATGGATCTGAGAGTTACCAGAATAACCAGCACACCACCCTTAGACAGTTACATTCATCCATACATACATTCACATCTTTGTTCATGCCAGCGATTGTCTCAAATATTATATGAGAACATCATAAACATAAATCCCATTTCTCATTCATTCTAAACACTATACTTCAACCACAGAGTACATCCCAACATCATACATTTTGGCCTCGACCTACCCATCCAATCTAACCCCTGCTAACAATTTTGAACTTCATTCTCTAGATAATAGACAAAGTCTTTAAAGAGACTTAGGGTTGTTTTTTTGTTTGTTTGGGAAAATGAATCTGGAAACAGTTGCAATATGGACTTGAGTGGAAAGACATTGGCGGCAGGGAGAGTATAGCTGACACTCAGGCAAGAAAGTTCATGAATTCTTCACTAAAGTGGGCTTAGACAGGATGAATAGATTCAGGAGTTGTTGTTGAAATAGATTCTGTATGGTTTGGTGACAGATTTGAAATGATGAGGGAGGAAGAAGCAAGAACTGAGAATGAAGCTGATGTTTCTAATTTTGGAGGCTAGATCAATTGTTATAACATTCATCAAGTTAAAATAAATATAGAAGAACAGGTTTTGGTGAGAGAAGATAATGAATTTAGTCCTAGACATGTTAAATTTGAGATGCCCGAAGGAAATCTCTGAAGACAAATTCAGTGAGAAGAATTCTGGTCAAGATGGCTCTATAGGGATTTCCCTGGTGGCATAGTGGTTAAGAATCTGCCAGCCAATGAAGGTGGCACGGGTTTGATCCATGGTCTGGGAAGATCCCACATGCCGCAGAGCAACTAAGCCCGTGTGCCACAACTACTGAGCCTGTGCTCTAGAGCCCGTGAGCCACAACTACTGAGCCCACGTGCCACAACTACTGAAGCCTGCGCACCTAGAGTCTGTGCTCTGCAACAAGAGAAGCCACCACAATTAGAAGCCTGAGCACCAAAACAAAGAGTAGCCCCCGCTCACCACAACTAGAGAAAGCCCGCATGCAGCAATGAAGACCCAAAACACAGCCAAAAATAAATAAAATTTAAAAAAAAAAGATGGCTCTATAGTTTCTTTTTTTGAGCACCGCCCCCCAACCCCACTGCACACACAAAAAAGCAATTAATCAGATATTAAAAGAAAATTAGGAACTTCCCCGGTGATCCAGTGGTAAAGAATCCACCTTCCAATGCAGGGGACGCGTGTTCATCCCTGGTCGGGGAACTAAGATCCCATCTCAGCCCATGCGCCACAACTACTGAGCTTGTGCCCCTCAACGAGAGAGCCTGCGTGCCGCAAACTACAGAGCCCACGTGCTCTGGAGCCCACGTGCCACAACTAGGGAGAGAAAAACCCTCACGCCACAACTAGAGAGAAGCCCGTGCACTGCAACTAGAGAGAAACCCGAGCAGACCATGCTCTGTAACGAAAAAGATCCCTCATGTCTCAACAAAGATCCCATGTGCCACAAGTAAGACCCAACGCAGCCCAAAAAATAAGGAAAATAAATAAAATAAAATAAATATTAAAAAAGAAAAGAAAATTAAGAGATATGGTGTATTCATAAATGAGATAAATACCCTTGAGACCAAAAAATGAAACAGAAACTTAAATTAGTGAGTGGCAAGAAGGGTTTGAATCCATGGATGAGGAGGGCTCTGGGAATGGAGACAATGATGACTGGAAGGCCAGCCCCTAAAGTAGTTGTTCCTTGTTGTGGGAGGGAGTGGGAAACAGGAGCCAAACTGGATTTCTGAAACCAGGGACTAAGGTGGGGACTCCCCACAGCGCAAACTGAAGGAAGAGCTGCTGCCAAGTCTTGCCAGGGGCTTCAGGAGAAGCCAGACAACCTTAGTACCAGAAAATAAATGTCTTCTCACTAGCTCAGTGACTATATGGTGATGTGCCCAATACCGTGGTGGCACAGGGGTCCTCAATCCCAAATTTAAGTCTTGGTTTTGGACTTGGGGCCCTGAGAGCTTGCCTGAAGTCAATTACAACCCTTTAGACAGGAAGGAGGGAGGGGAGAGAGAGAGAAGGAAAATAAAACAGTTAAAACCCTCCCCACTGAAAGACCTGGCAAACCGAACTTCAAAAACATAAATCTGTGATAAAAAAATAGAAATAAAATTTAATCAGAACACAAATTAATTCTAAATGATATTGATTTAATAGCCTAGTTGGACAAAGACTTTAAAATACCACTACGTTTAAATATATCCCACCCCCATAGGAAAATGTCCTTTAACGCATGACATAAAACATCCATTCTTCTCCTGATCAGGAATAAGAGGGTTTCCCTTTCTCAGGAGTTTGAAATCTGTTCAATCTAGTGACCTGTTGGAAGGGCCCTTTGGGAGGGGTATAACTGGGGTCTTGGATTTTTTTCTATGAGTCATAATTGTTGAACCCCTTAGGAGTAGGAGTCTGCTTCTTCATCTGTTGTTCTTTCCACCTTTGTTCCTGGCAAAGGAACTTCTGGGTCTCCAGCATCACCCTGGCGTTGAAGCCATGTATCATTGAAGCCAGGTAGCTATTTCTGGAGCTGGAGAACCTGGGGTTTCCTGTGACATTCTGGAAGCCTTCCCCAGGGGACTAATTGTGCTCCCAAGAATCCTGGGAGACAGAGCTGGCATTTCTCCTGCTTTGCTGAGGAAGAAAATGGATAAATTCCCTTATCCATTTATTGACTGTGTGGCCTTGGACAAGTTGTTTAATCTCTCTGATAATCCAGTTTTCTTAACTCTAAAATGGGAATACTACTACTTACTGTGGCTACTGCCTTCTGGCACATAGTAGGTTTTTCCTTAAAGCCTGCACCACATTTTTAAATTTCATCAGTGTTAAGGTTTTCTTTGAGGGAGGATTTGATATTTTTTAAATTGGTAAAATCCACTCATAGAGAAGTCTTGTAACATGGTGAGTGATTAAACTGAGTAATACTGTCTAGGATTTTAAAAAATGGGGTGTTAAGAGGCTTATTTTCTCATATATCTTGTGTGCTGACACTGAGAGCAATTCTGTAAGAGAAATTTCAAAAATGCTTTAGCAGTGATTAGTGCCGGTAAAGTTAGTGTATAATCTCCCAAGGTGACAACTTTGCCGTGTGGTGTGTAAATTCTGATCTCTTGTTCTACATCATGTATTTCACCAAATTTGTATATAGCCTCTAAGTTTATGCATGCCTACTTCTTTCTTTCTCTTACCAAATATTTTCCCTAATGGATTTTCGTTTGAGGTGGTAATTTTTTTTTCTAGCCTAGAAAAGCCACTATACCGCTAAACCCAAGAGACAGAGATAGAGCAGCTGTGTGCTCCTACACTCAGATTCGAAAAGTGTCGGTGGAGAAGGGAGGGGCAGGTCAGAAGACAGGTTGTTATTTCCATTGCTGGCAATTTAGGTTCAGAGGCATTTCATCTGCAGTCCCCTCAAGTGTTGAATTGAATAAAAGTAGTAGCAGAAACAGTGGGAAGGGTGGTTGGGGGAGGGGCTGTGAACACTTCTAGCTAAACGCAAAGAGACAGGCAGCTCGTAAGCATGCATCCTCAGCTTGGAATAAGAGCCACAAGAAGGCTGAGAGCCAGCTTTTATTGAAACAAGATGCTGCTGTAGTGAAACAAAACAGACTGAAATCCATCTACACTGGCAGAGTAGTATGGTTACTGAGTATTTGCTTCTCCAGCCAGAAGGGGCTGTGTAGATGACTGTGTGAATGAGAGGAAGAATAAAGCACTGAAGCATTTGCATCTTGCCTAACATGAATGATTTAAGAATAGACATATATCACATGCATCTTTACTAAGAATATATGTGCCTATGAAGATTTACTGCTTATTTTACATTCAACTCAACCAGCATTCTCATTTGCATTGAGCTAGAAACCATGCAATACAGATTGTGTATGAGAAGCTTATTGTTTACAAAGATGTGATATCCCATATTCCATTTTTAAGCCAGTTTTCCTTAGAAATATTGTTAAGGATGGTGGGAAGCATCATAAGCTAGCCCTCAATTGTGTTTTTGACAAATAATATACCTAAAGTAAAAGACCAATACAAGGAAAATGAATTAAAAATAATGCTGCAGGAAAAGTAGAAATTTAAACAGGAAAAGAATAATTGGATATTGATTTATTTTTCTTGTTTGTAATCTTGAGAAAATGACTTAATTAGTAAAATGAGGAAAAAGATGAAGACTTGTAAGTCTATGAAGGACATTTTAATGTACTTCAGGGATTGTAGAGTTTCAATGCACTGATGCTTTATTATACCTAATTTACCTCAAAAATATGACTTTCTTTTTCATTGATATAAATTTCAGAGTCATATAATAGATATTGATTAAGCCTGTTATATACAAAAGGTACTGTATTATGTGCTGTAAGAGATACAAGAATTGTCCAAGGCAAGTAACCCTTTATCAAGGTGCTGGCAATTTATTTGGGGAGATAAAACATA